TGCTCCAGTTAGGTATTACATTATTGGGTCTCCAAGGTCTACGCAAAGATGCTAGAAAGGAGGTGCCGCGGAATAAATGACTCCCAGATAGAAGAGGAGTATGGTTTGCGGCACGGTCGAAGCACCTCCTTTAACCATATATTTGCTCTGCGCCAGACTGTTTGGAAATCGTGGGAGTGGGCCCGTTCGGTAAGGTGTTTTTGTTGACCTAGAGAAAGCCTATGACCGCATCCCATGCAACCGTTTCAGGTCATGCCTGCGAGTATACGGGATAGATGGCCAGCTGCTAAGGGCCATCCAATCACTGTGCCATGTAGCAGGTGCTGCGTCAGAGTAAATGGCGTTAAGTCGAAGCCTTTCAACGTTGGCACTGGTCTTCCCGAAGGCTGCGTCCTGTCGCCTCCTGTTTGTACTGTACATGCATAGAATAGTCGGGACGAGCCAAGTCTATGGTTTATCGGCGTAGGAGATGTGGAGAGTAGAATGTTGCTGCCTGCGGACGACCCTGTCTTACTGGCATCTTCTGAAACTGACCTACAGTGCTCTCCGAAAAATGTCGCAGTCGAGTAGAACGTGACCAGGAGGCGTCTGATGAACGCATCTAAAAAGAAAAGCCGTTTCTTTTCGTTCTTCTGCCCGTTGCGCTCTTGAGATTAACAGAGGCAGTGGAGCAGGTTAAGAAGTTCAACTACCTCGAAGTCGTATTTACCAGTAGTGGAAAATTCGAGAAAGAGATCGACCGGCGAATTGGCGTAGCCAGTGGCATTCTGTCTGAACTAGCCCGATCCACTGTGACTAGAGCAGAGCTCCGTCTGGAAATTAAGCACTCAGTGTTCAAGTCGATCTTCATCGCCATGCTTTCCTACGGTCATGAGTCGTGGACCATCACTGAAAAGCTTCGAACCCGGGTACAAGCTTATGAAATGGTCTTTCTTAGACGAGTCACTGGCCTTACGCGTCTCAACAAGGTTCGGAATTCTGACATCCGGGAGAACCTTGGTGTACAGCCTCTGCTTCTCCGGATTGAGAAGTCACAGCTGCGATGGTTTGGGTTTGTGTTACGAATGCCTCCAGAAAGGAAGGCTAAGGAACTCTTTCTTGTCAAACGACCGGCAGAAGGTCCAGGGGACGGCTAAGATTAACCTGATGCAAATATATGGAAGGAGTCTGTTCCAGACTCGAGTTGTCTTCTGCCGAAGTTCAGACTCTGACACAGGATCAGGAACGTTGGAAGCACTGCCTGGCGTGTCTGCCTCCACGACCCAAAAGGAGAAGCGGCCAATAAAGAAGATGATTTCTGGCACACTAGAATTGCGCGGTAAAAAGCATGTGCTTCAAATAAATGGAATTTTTAGGGTAGAGTCATCTGCTCTGCTTTTTGGGTGTTAATACAGATCTTCATTGTTTTGCGTGCCATCTGTTTAGCTCTTTTTGTTTAATAACACGATGTTCCAAAAGACCAGATATCGCCAGTGATCAGAGTACGAAGTCAGTTGATATAGCGAATTTACATAAAGGTTCAGCAAGAGAATAAATAAAAACAACAACTAGAAAGGCAGTGGTAACAGCCGCCATTTTCAGATGACATACACTATTACATATGATAAAAAGCATTATTCGGCAAACTGCAACTGAACAGGAAACGACAGATGAGCAATAAAATTTGAAAATTCTTTCATAAGCTTTGCTAAATCTTCTTCGATTTTCTTTATTTCGTTTGCGTACTTGATGCGAAAAGATTCAGCGGCATTTTGGTTGTCGGAATCCAAATTGGTGTCTGTTGTCTCAAGAACACCGAACAGTTCCATGTCTAGTGCATCGAATGATGGCAAGATGTTGCTCGTGAACTCATCCGCTGTTTTTGATGGGCGCACCGCACAATCTTCGTTTACTCGGTCAGCGAAAGCGGAAAGTCTGTCGGCCAACGCGTCAAGTTGTTGTGAGATTTCTCTCGCATCTTCTTCATTGCTTACCGAAATCCTCTCTTTTCCGTGTTTCAGCAAAGCAGCCAGAACACCCCTTGCGATACCTAACTGTCGTGACATTCGAAAACTCCACTGGAAGCCATTATCAAAACCTCTCTGCAGCTCCCTCTCTTCCGAGGCTATAACCGACGTACGAAAGTTCTGCTTGAATATGTTCATTTCGGAGTGGAGGTAATCTCGATTATCAATGACGCGATCTTCTGCAGATTCATCTTCGAGAAAATCAGCCATTTAAGGAACAAAGCGAAAGTTCTTAAACAAAAAACTTGTCTACAAATATAAAGAAACTCAGCGGCTCGAATCAGTGATCGACAAAGCTTCTGTTCTCCAGTACAGGCAGAAAAGGTTTCAACGACCGTAAAGAATTTAGGAAGAAGTCAAAGAGGTTACAAGAACAAGTAAGCAACGATACGGCAAGGAAACAGATCAAGAGTTAAACTGAGCAAACATTTACGTGTACAATGAAATTACTTGCTGCCACAATAGTCTTGATTTTAAAATACGTTAATAAGAATAAGCATATATTCCATTCGAAGTTAGTAATCGCGAGTTCGGACAAACTCATCACGTCAACGGAAAGATTTTATTCTGCGAGCTCTTAAACAAGTCTACGCCATCACAGAAGGAAATCACCTACAAACTGCCGTCAGCTATGCCGATATGCAGCGAATATCCAAGATCACAATCAATTAGGTAGTCTAGATTATCCAGATATACACTGTTCGCAAATGTGAATGACTGTGAGCAAATATTTACGTTTGCTGGTGCATACCATGAAGCAAACTGTACTGTTTCAACCACAGTTATGGGAGTTACAATTGATAGAGACACCTTGGTCTACAAGTGGATCTCTAGAAATAATGCAATATAGAGGCGGCATCACAAAACTTCAGCACATTTTCAGAAGCCTATGCGAGGTAGTTCAGAGTGGATATCTCTTAATGCTACTGAGTAAAGCGTTGCAAAAACCAGCATAAAGGGAAACTCAAAAAGACATGATGAGTGGATCAAGGACAACTACATTGTCAACTTACGTCGTGCTTCAAGGAAAAGCTGGGAAGAACTATATTAAACTTTAGTATGTATTCAGTACTGTGCCTGATTTCACTGTCCTACGTCAACTTATTAGCGTGAAAACTATAAAAGAGCAGAAGAAAAAACAACCTATGACCTCCAATGAAATGCGCATCAGTGTATGTTATTGTCCAGACCAGTAATTACTTCATGAACATTTCTCACTGCACATGAATGAATCAACTATTTAGCAAGTCATATTCATAATAAAAACTAAAGGAGAACGTCACGTTTCAGAAACGACGATTTTGCAATAATTTTCAAGATTCTTTCATTTAACAAACGGCAACCACTTTTAAGAAACTCACTACTTGTCGGCAACGGAAATACTTCATACTTAGGAATAGATTTCGTTAGATTCAGTCCAGACTTTCTGTCAAGGTCCACCGTCCCATCCCGTCCCATCTAGTATGAACAGCCTGTCGATGTCACGACGCGCGCTCGTTTCAGTGTTCATGCTCTGGTAAAACTAAACCTAGTGATAGGAATCACTGAATGGAAGTCGGCAGAACAATGGTAATCCTTCGAATGATAAAGCAGTGACTTGTTACAGGTCTATGCGACCAATTTAGAGGGAGACTATAAGTCCCCTTTGAAAAAGTGTAACGAGGTCTGTATTAAGTGATAATTACAGTCACTTATGAGAGATTTTAACTTACATGTCGGGACAGACACTGAAAAGCGGAAAGCCGCGACTGGAAAAAATGGCCTAATGACCTCAACAACAACGGCATAAACTTGCTGCGATTTTGTAAAAACAATGGACCATCTGTCATAAAAAATTTCCTTTAGCATCGAAGCGTGCATCAGTATACTACGTACACGAAAGCTATGAAAAGAAGTCTATTCTAGATTTAATAATCGTTTCGTCTTATGTACAACCCTCCGTAACGGATGTTCCAGTTAGGAGAGGCGCAGAGCTGTTTACTGATCACCAACTTGTTGACAAGCTACGCTGTAAAAAGTGGAGTACCATGTGAAGGTCTGGCGGCAGAAACAACCAGAGAATGAAATGGGAAACATTATCTTCAGCGGATACGAGAACAGAACTTGCAAACATCACGGCAAAACGGTTTGAACAGATCCTGGTGATGACCACTAATGAGAAAATCGAGTCTTTAAGAGCGGCATACTCGAGGCTGCCGTCGAATGTTGCGGATCAAAACGAGTTGGCCTGTCGCCTGGAGGTCAGAAAAGAACTTCCAGGTGAACAAGAGAGGAACAACTGGCAGTTAGAAGAAAAAGGCTGTATTCTAGAAATGTTCGGAAGCAAAGAGCCTTCAAATCGCATGCGATACGTAGAAACTCCCAAGACGGTAGTGATAGTAGTGGGGAAATCCAAAGCTGATAACTCGGTTCGGTGAGGTGTTGAGTGAAATTTTGAGACTGCAAACAGGGTACGTTGGTAGACCATCCGCCGGCTCCGAGATGAAAAGAAGGGCAGTCTTAAGAGTCTTGAAGGACAGTTATGGACACCCTCTTACCAAGAATGATGAGATTCTTCGGCGATGGAGAGAGTACTTTGAGGAACTCCTTAACCAGGGGCAACCGCAGGAACACTCGCCTGTAGAGCAGCATGGGAAGATATTACTATTTCTGTAGATGAATTTGCACAAGTTTTTAAAAGCATCAAAAGTAGAAAGGCTGCTAGAACTGACGAAATTCACCCTTAATTGCTCAAAGCGTTAGGCGAACAAGGCAATTGCTGGCTTACAAGTGTCTGTCAAACTGCAATGACTACGGGGAAGACACCAACGGGACTGGAAAACGGGAGGGGGATTGTTGTATCTCCGTTCAAGAAGGAAGACCAAAGGACGTGTTTCAATCATCGGGACATTACCTTATTGAGCCTCCCAGGTAAGGTGTACGCAAAGATACTAC